AAAAAAAAATCGAAAATCGGAGAGACTGTTTTTTAGATAATTCAGTTTGAACATTGAATGGCGAAAAAATCGTAAATTTTAAAAAACTCTAAATTACAGCCGTTTAAATAATTTTTAGCTCAATTTTGATGGCATATTCAGAATCTACATAAAAAATTGGTCTAGAAACACTCTTTCAAAGTATGATGGATCGATACAGAGTCTCGCTATGGAGAGTCAAAGAGAGGGAAGTCGAGAAAATGAGAATCGCTAAAACGGGCGTTTTTGAATATCACTAAAATTCACCCCATCTTTGGGGGTCGATATCTCGCGAACGGGGCGTCGGATGGGAAAACCCTCCAAATTAGTTTCTTAGAATGATGTAAAGACCCCGTATACCAATTTTCAGCCAAATCGGAGGGGGTCGGGTTCCGACCTTGGTTGCGTTGACGTGGAATGACCCGTTTGTCATGATGACTGTATGTACTTCTATTTTAATGTATGCGCGTGTTATTTCAAATCACACTCACCTGAGAAGTAAAAAATATGTGGAGTAATATTATATTGGAAGGAACTGCAAGGAGAAAACGGCATAAGTCACTCATATTGAAGTAGAGAACGAACCATTGAGTACAAGACAGTCGCAATGTTCTGGAGCGCCGATGAAGTCACTTTTTGAGGCTGTTTTGTCCAGTACTCATGAGACTAGTGTGCGGCGACAGGCGATGCCGTATGCGCGGGATAAAAATTTCATAAAAACCGAGGGTGTTGTACATTTTTTTAACTTGGCATGACTTCGGTGAACACAATTTGCCAAAATCCGCGGAAATAAGATTAATTAAAATTAATAAATCCAAAAAACCACTCGCAGCTCGCGATTCTCCCATGAGCCACCGTGTTAAAAAATTCCGAACGGTTCCCCGATGGTTCCCACTTTCCGGCGAACAAGGGGCTCGGAATGGCCCGTTCATGGATCGACTTCATCGGCGCTCCAGTACATCGCGATTCTATTGTATCGTACTCTATGAAACGAACTAAATTAGCTTGAAGCTCGGCTGATATCACGACTGTCACAGAGAGAATTATAACGAGAACGCTACATTGAGCATTAACACCGAGATAAAATTACCCGCACAGAATTCTACATGAATAAAAAATATCAACCGCATTAATCTGACGAATAGATTTATCTCATCTTACAGGGTGTTTCAAAGGAAAAGGAGGGGTGTCGATACCTAAAGGCTGTTTTTGGGGCCACCCTGAAATTCCTCAACCATGCATGCAACTATTCGTGTGTCACGGTAAACTGAACTTTTGCCCTCAGTGGCAATAGTTCCAGATATAGTCTTCTCTTCCTTGGTGCTTTTGTCCATCCATGGTGAATCAGAGGCAAAAGGCTTCTTGGGCTCTTGCTACACCACTCAAGCAGTGATAAGCGAAAATGAACCAATAAGTAACACAATCTTAAAATAGAGACAAATAAGTATGAGGTGTAATCCTCCGACGGGGCTCAATACTGCCGTGCCAAGGAAAAATGCCGTATGAACCTTCAGGGGATGCCAAAATATCCTTTGAGAAAACTAGAATTTCCTGGTAAACGTATGAATATTTTCTTTCTGATTTTTTACATAATTTTGTTCGCAATTTCACCTAAAGTATCTGAAAATCTCAAGGACATATATTCATAATTTTCTTCAAAAATTAATATTTTATCGTAGGAAATTTGGCAACTGTCGAATTCTCATACGGTGTTCTTCCTTAGCACGGCAGAATACAAGAAAAACACTTTTACAAACCTTTTGGTACAAATTATCTAATTTTATTTCACTTTTTTTGACATTTTACTGTGGGTTCTAGATGTACTTGTGGCCTTTTTAGACGAGTTACAAGTCAAAAGATTGAATATGACTCTACAAATTTTATAAATAATCATAAAGAATACTAAAACGCTAAAAATAATAATTGCTGTAACATCTAGCAAAAAGTACTGGAACCACCACAATTCTTTCGCACCGGTTTGTGAGGATGGATTCCCGCCATGTCGGATGACGTATTCGACTAAATGAACTGCCTTGTCGACGGGCGAGACCACTCGATCTTTGAAAATTGAAGATATTCTTTTCGCACTATCGGAATACCTGAAAAACACGGAACGGTTAATTATTACGAGATAAAAGTTTATCGATGTCACATGGGGGAGGGGGAGTGGTTCCTCTCCTCGAAAATTTGATGGGTTATGGATCGTAACACATGAAAAATTTTTAAAGAAAAGGCAGAACTTATACGTGATGCATTGCGAAACATTCGTTGATAAGAGTAGGAGGTGGAGAAGCGAGGTTGATAAAATAAGATAGAGGAGGCTCATGTAACGCAGGTTGCCTCTTTCAGAATATAAGGCGAATGGTGAGGCGAACTAATACGTTCTAACACAATTTCTGAGAATTTACCTTCATCAACTGCATATCGACGGTGTGAGTCCGCAACCACGTATCTCGGTTAGCGATTTCCTCCATTTAAACCTGTGTTGAATAATCGATTCCTGTCGAAATATATGTCCCTCCGAGAATCGATAAATTTGCATAGGTTTAAATGGAGAGAAAACAATTTTGCCAACTTTTTACATCCTCTAGGGGCTTATTACGGACCAAGAATAACTTACGAGTAATAATCTAAAGCACTCGGTGTTGTCAATCTCTGATTGAAGTAGAATTGACCACAGCTAGAGTAATTATTTTACTCAACCCTTGTTCAATTGAATCTCTCAGTTCAAAAACGGCCCATCTCGGAAAAGTGGGATTTTTCGGGAGACGATAAAAACAGCGTAATAGTCAGAAAAGGAGTATTTCTACTTGCTCCCATTTTATGTCCGTCAAAAGTTCCGGGGTTCGGAACTTTTTTGTTCCAGTTCAAACCACTCCATGACCGTCTATAGTTCTGGGATTTTTTTTTTTTTTTTGATTTTTTTAAAAGTTCTGAGAAAGTTCCGGAAAATGCAAACGATCCGGAAAATTTCGGGGGTTTCAAAAGTTCCGGGAAAAATTCAGGAAAATCTCAAATGTTCCAAAATTCGGAGATAGTTCCGGGAAATGGGAGCACTGCGCAAAAGAGTGAACATCACGAAATCCGATTGAGTCGTTTTCAAAAGTTCTGAGAAAGTTCCGAATAATTCATAAAATCCGGAACATTTCGGGGATTTCAAAAGCCCCGGGAGGAATTCAGGAAAATCTCAAAAGTTCCGAAATTCGGTACTAGTTCCGGAAAATGGGAGCACTACGCAAAAGAGTAAACACCATACAAAACCCGAGTAGAGTTGTTTTCAAACTGAGAGATTAAATGGGGGTAGGAAAAATTAATCTCATTCGATCCGGAGATTCCTGAATACAATACGAGAACATGATCCAATCAATGAATATGATCCCCCTAAATATTAAATCGAGTAATGTTTGTACATGATAGATAACTTACGATTTATTCTTTAGTATTTCATTCACGGTATCTACAATGAGTTCTGGTGTCAGATCATCAAAGTTTAAATGCACGCCAAATCCTTTCTCTTGGGCCATGTGACAGTTTCTCGGCTGATCCGCAAAGAAAGGGATGCCAATTATCGGGATACCCCTATCAACCGTTTCTACCAGACTTAAATATCCGCAATGAGTGATAAATATCCGACAATTTGGATGAGCTGTGAACAAATGAAATAATTATTGGTACAGAGACTCTTAGTTGGCAGTTTTTGATTCGACGCATTGTAAAAGCCGGAAAGAACGATAGTGGATACTTAACACGAATAACCCAGGGGAAAAGTTGCATTCCGATTAAAATTTTCGGTCAGCAATCAGCATCTGATCGTTACTAGGATTTAATTTTTGGATCTTTTCGAGAGACAAGTGGTACTGATCTTATATGAGTTGGCTACATTTTGCAATTTGGAACTATAAATTCAGCCTCATCTGAAAAAACACTTATGTGCATAGGGAAACTAATGGCACATACGTTGTTCTTAAACCGGGCCAGAATTTATAGTTGCAAATAGCAAAATGCAGTCCAGTTGTCATTTTACCAGAATTTGCCGTAATTTTCTCACGTCTGAGAGGACTTCGCTGTAAATTCATCCCTTTCTGTAACTTATTTGAATAAAAATATTTAAAATTTGAAAAGACCTCATTGCCTTTATTCAAGAATCAGTAATCCTATTCACAATGAAATTTTACCAGGATTTCGATAATGCGACGCGAATGAAACGTAGGTTCATGAAAATGTTCGATCAATTGGACTACATTTTGCAATTTGGAATTATAAATTCTAGCCCGGTTTAAAAACAACGTATCTGCCATTAGTTTCCCTATGCACATAAGTGGTTTTTTTTTAATGAACCAGAATTTATAGTTCCAAATTGCAAAATGCAGTTAAAAGAAGCGCATACAATGTTGTTAGCACACCGTTGAAAGAAAAGAGAATGAATATTCCTGAAAGCATGGATTTTCTTACCTAAAATATCACCTTGCGGGAGCCATTTCTGCAGGAGCACATTTGGAGGTAATTCGACGTCTAAAGCGCCCTCATACTTCCATATGACTTTCTGATCTAGTCTTTTGAAAGCCTCCACAAAGTACGCTTTCTGTTTGCTCGGCATTTTCTCCCCAGCTAAAATTGATCCAAAGCTAAAATAAATGACACCCGTCCTAGCTTCATCCATGAACTTTTGCAGCTCCTGGGACAAAAGCAAAATAGAAAATTCAAATTGATACCATTATGATATAAAAAGGGGGAGAACCCGCAAACGTGCCTTATTTTAAACAGCAGTCTGCAGACTGATTATTGAAATCGATAGAAAAAGCGATAGACATAAAGGACACGTTGAGTATGGGAGCGATCCTTTTGGTTGAAATGTGTGGTTCCAATAGACTAAGGGAGAAACGATGGACTAGCTGTTGGGTTTCTCGTGGGTTGCCGTTAGTTAGTCCATTACTTACTTACCTACTGCCTTTCTCCATTGCAACCACGGGGGGACTGGTAGTCGAAAAGTTAGAAGGAGACCTAAATGTAAGGGCCCCTCCTGTCGCACGGGGAGCCTCCCCCCCCCCAAAAAAAAAAGAAAAATTTGAAAATTTCACACTTCTTAAACGCGTAGGCATTATTGGAGTTTGATTCTACAGAACTTGAACTTCATAATAACCCATTCTCAGGATTCATCGGGGGTCCCTTCATCACAAATGCTTTTGGCGACCTTCCATGTTTCTTAAAGGCAAATTTTCAAGGAATTCGGGGCCTTTTAGTGATTGAAAAGGATAAGAAAATTATAACATAACGGGAAAAAAACGATGAATCAAAAAAAATTCGCCGCGGGGGCTCCTTCGGGGCCTCCGCGGCAAATTGTTAGGGGGCGATCGCCTCCCCGCCCCCATGGCCAGACCGCCCCTGGCGGCACAGGAAAGCCGAAAATCGAAGCGGGGACGCTACTTAAATATTAAGCTTCCATCGCCTTGCTAAGGCGCAGGGATACAACTATTTGAACTCTCCGGAACGCGTGAGGTATGACGCCTCATTTGAAGGCGTTTTCGAATCTTCTGTATTTACATGACAAGATTTTCCAAATTGTTTTGCATTATATTGTAGATTTGAGTTCCTTTTATTATTTAGTTAAATTACTTCTACTGCTTAATTTTTAATTATTCTGCAAAAACTATCCATTTGCGAAATACAACCCTGGCTTTCGCGCCCTTAAACTACGGCCTTAAACGGTCGAAACTGCAGTAGCGGCACAGGAATGCCGGAAAACCAAACCGGGACGCTACTTCAGTATTAAACTTCCATCGCCTTGCTAAGGCGCAGAGATACAACTATTTGAACTCTCCGGAACGCGTGAGGTATCACGCCTCAATTGAAGGCGTTTTCGAATCTTCTGTATTTACATGGCGAGATTTTCCGATTTGTTTTGCATTTTACTGTAGATTTGAGTTCCTCTTATTACTTAGTTAAATTAGGTACTCCTGCTCTTTAATTTTTAATTATTCTGCAAAAACTATCCATTTGCGAAATACAACCCTGGCTTTAGCGCCCTTAAAGCCGAGGGCTTCTCCTTTTCATCTCAAGTCCTCGTCATCATTTCTTTCTAAGTCGCGCCGTTCCGGGCCAAATTGCGTGTTTTAACTATTTGGTTTTTCTCTTAACTTGAATAATTAAAGGTGCTGTCTCTTGTATCTCTGAGAGACGAAAAAATTAGAAATTATTTTACTCTCTGCAGGAAATGAAAGATTTTGTCGCCTTCTCTCGTTTGTAATTTTTTTTTTTTTTTAAATCTGATTTTTTCTTATACCTACATTTAAAAAAATTGCAAAATTTGCCGCCCCCTATGGATTTGCTGCCGTGGGCCGCGGCCCATGTGGCCATCCCCTTAATCCGGCCCTGGAACCGTCGTTCATAAAGCACGTATTTGACTCAGTTTTTGCATAAATTTACTCATTTCTGCGGAAGAACGCTCATTTCAGTGCATTCTTAGTCATCTTGGTTAGAATTGGAATTTGCAGACTCTGCAAACTGGCAGTGGAATTTTGTGTGTTAGAAGTTGGTTAGAAGGATGGCTGCACTTTTCGGCCCTAAGACCACCATGAAGCGATCTGTCCGTACTCTCGCTGTACAGGTACTCTACAGCCCTGGATAGACGATCAAATTCCGAACCAATTCCGATCAAAGTAGACATGCTGATGACTGAAGGTCACCATCTACCATCAAATTTTGACGGGCCGCACTATTTTGTTCAAAGTAAGATCAGAATGGAGTGCCACCATTCATCATCTCCTGCCTCAGGAAAAATTTCTGCCAAGCTTTCATTTTAAAACTAAGCAAATTAATTAGTTTAAAACTGATGACTCCCGACACTTTGATGGTAATTGGTTCGGGAATTTGATCGTCTATCGAGACCTTTTTATAACTCACCTTCGGCAACGGTTTCTTCGGATGCACCGAAATGCCACCAACCTCGATGGACTGCGGGAACATGGGTCTCGGGTAGCCCAACACGGGATCCGAATTGAAAATCGAAGCAGCTATGTTCTGGTGCAGGAGAGTCTTCAAAGATGTCCCTCTGGGTACGGAACTATTGAAGTAAGCGTTCATGAGTGCCTCTTCTCGAGGGAAGGCATACCAATACGTGCCGTAGATTTGAAACAACCCGAGGAGCGTGTTATGAAGACGCTCGTACAAGCTCATGCGATCCGAGTAGGGCGATCTGTAGTCGGTGACGTAGGAGAACAGCGTCGGGTTGAAGAGCACGTCGTGGGTGTAGTGAGTGCCGCACTGGGAGGAGAAGTCTATGACGGGAGCATCGAACAAGTTCCCGAGGGCGACGAACGGCTCTTGAGAGAATAATATTTCCGAAATTATGACGTCGTATTTGACGTCTTTCCGACGTAGGAACTCTTGGACGATCGGGTTCGCTAGAATGGTCTCGGTCATTTTCAGACCGAATCCCCAGTGGAATATCGAGATCTTGAAGGCGTCATCGTGGCGGAAGGAGTATGGGTCTGCTGCTAGTTCTGGAAAAAAGTGGTTTGATGTTATTACAGACTAGGGGGTACGCCCTTTGACCGCTTAGCAGTCTAACTCCCGCAGAGCAGAGACAAGAGACCCTCCACTAGGCTCTTGGCGACAGGTGGAGGCTTTTACTTTCGGAGTATCAACAATTCCTTATGGGAAAATATAAGGGAGCAACAGTCATCACCCTAATTTCGCCCGTTGACCTACCGACTTGGTGGATGATGAGCTTCGGGTGACGTCATGAGCCAAACTGGTTTCCCAAACTTCGGCCATTTTCGACTTGTTTGCAAAGCGGAACTGCCAACACGTTGTTGAACATCAATCATGTAGGTAAGTCAACAGTTTAATGTTGAAGTCCCGAAAGTAAAAGCTTCCACCGTGGCCATGGCCAAGATACTAGTGGAGGGTCTCTTACATCTGCCCCAGAGGCACTTCGCGCCTGCAGCGGAATGCTCAGGCAATACGCGTTACGGGTTATATCCTCATAATTTTATATTACAGAGTAGATTCTTTTCAAATTACTTTTCGTATTTGAAATCGCATTTAATTTCAGGTGATAGAGCGTTACATAGATTTTATAAAGTGATGAATGGACACACGTCTTGGGGAATTGGAAAGCAAAAATGTATGCGGCCGAAGCTAAAATAGCCTTGTTTTGCCCCTTTTCAGGATAACTGAGGATATCATACTTCGTTAAAATTAAATTACCTGAAATAGGGGGCAGGGTCATTGGTTCACCCTGTTCTTCTCTCAAATGAAACCCTCGTTTCAAAATTAACTTTTTTTAGCCAGCAAAAGACGAGAGACGCTGTTTGTGTTACGTCACAGAATAACCACATATCGTTGGCTAAAGTGCGATATACCACGTATCTACATTACGAAGTTTCAAAATCTCCGCCCCTAGTTTATTTTTTCGAAGAGGGAGAAGTCAACTTTATAGCTTGAAATTTATGTAGAATATTGTACTTATAGTATAGAAAAATCCATGAGGTTTTCAAGAAATTACCTTGACTAGTTTTTCAAGGAAAAATAAAGTATGGGTGGAGGTCTACAACGTCGCAAACGGAGAAATGCTGTCTTGTACTTTAGCCATCGATATATCGATTCATCCTCAGTGGTACCACGAAAAGAGATTATATCATTGTTGTTGTTTGTATCCAATTTGATAAAACAGAGAATCCATATGTAAAAATCATCACTATAGCGTAACGGTAGGTCTTTATCTTGACTAAAAGTTGAGTAGTATCACCTCAATTATTTACTCTTGCATGAGGGAAAGATTAAGTTCGTAAGCTAGTTAGTGGCAAAGTAGGAATCGTCGGCTATCGATACATCGATATTTTCGAATGTGAATCCATGTTGAAGAATCGATTATCAAGAATTGATTCATCGCAAATTATTACACACCTCGAAAGTCAGTGCATACAGAAAGGGTTATGACATAATACTCACGGTTATCGTCATCCGACATAATATCGCCGATTAAAACTTCCTCGATATTTTTAACCTTGTCCTTCATTTCTATCCCCGTGACGTATGTGATGTGATGGCCTTTCTGTGCCAGACCCCTCAAAAGGGGTTGGAATACAAACTGATGGCTTTTGAGTGGCAAAGGGAAAAACGCCAGAATTCGGGCCGCCTCCGTGAATATAGGCAGCCATGCTAGCGTCAGTACAAATTGATGGGGCAGCATCTGTTTGATTTATCCAAAATCCTAGCGGTCACAACAAGAATTAGAATTAAAGGATTCAGCACGGAATTTGGTTAAAGATAGATTTTTATCAGAGGAATAGTTCCTCACTCCCCGATATGTATGCCGGATTGAAGATCGTGGCTTCTAAGCTTGGTGGATCGCTTTTTCACTACCCTGTCGATTGAAGGAGAATTGGTGAATCAAATTCCTTCCAGCTGGCAGGAATTGGATACTGCATCATTGAAAAAGCTGTGTGTGTCGGCGGCAAGTGGCAATCTGAGCGATTATCCTCGATCTTGTTGCAATTTTATCTCTAGCAAATCGCGTTTGACAAAGTCGAAATTTTATTTCACTTTTTCATGATTTTTTCTCCAATAATATTGCAATGAATCGACGTCGGTAAAATCGAGATACGTTCTCCGATCAAGCTTCTAGGACTTTATGCCCGCCTACCTTTCGTCCATTAAATAAATTTCCACCGCTATTTATGTCCACTAAACGTTAAGTCCAGTCTTTATTAAGTCCACATGATTTAATGTCCAACCATTGTGGACATGTTATGTCCACATTTTTTTCTTCTCATTCAAATGACAGGAACCACCTCAAAAATAAATGCATACTACTACTACCTTCATTCTTAAAAACATTTCATTCATGAATCAAGTCATGAAAGAGAAAAGACTCTAAGAGCAGATAAAAACATATGTTCATGTGTACACTGTACGGACATGATAAGATGAAAACCAAAGCGGCAGCCTAGGAAACGCTCTAATGCCAAATTAAACATTTTTCAGTAACAGATGCAGTCAAAATTAAAAGTCCTCTTTAACTAGTTATTTCGTGCGCCTTCAATCTTGTAGGATACTGTGCAACGCCTCTGACGCGAAATAGTTGCTTAAAGCGTTGCGGCGCGGAAGGCAATCAGCGTGACACGCGCATAGGCGCCTACAAACCTAACGGGATACTTCACGCGTTGCGCAATGCGTGAAGTATCCCCTTAGGTTTGTAGGCGCCAGTGCGCGTTCTGCGCTGCTAACACGCCGCTCCGCTCTGTGTTAGGCTCTAATATTTAAACTCGCGGAGACAGCGTTTTTCAACTCATGATTTGAAATGTTTGCACACTCTCTGCATTGATTATTCCCTTTTAAACTGATGAAAAAGAAATATGTACTACTGGAAAATATAATGTGTTTTTTGTAAATATAATAGTGGTTCCGTGTCAAATTTAATGATTTCTAAAGCATTCAAATTTATACCTACTTTTATGTTTTGGATTTTTACTGTGCTGCAGCGTGGTATAAGCGCAATTAAACGCTCAAAATTGGACGTATTTGACTCAAGGAGGTCGATGTAAAAATAAGTTAAAAACAAAAAATTGCGTGCTTCTTAGTTTTTTCCTCTTTTATTAATTTTTGTATAGTTTCTTTCATCACAACTACGGCTCATGCAGATTCATATCGATGCCATTGCTTCGAAAAATTATTACAAATATTTACCACGTTTTAAGAATGTGAATGTTTTTAAAATGAAGTAATCAATTTCATTAAAAAAAAAAGAATGTACATTTAAGGCATATTTTATATCGGAAATTTCAAGGATAGAAATGAAACCAAGTATTTACCAAAGACAATTTGAAAAGATGAATCAAAAGAAGAAATTAACATTTCATTTAAAATATGAGTTACGATAACAAAACCTCATTCTCTCTTAATTTTCTCATTTCGATATTGTCAATATAATTTTACACACGGACTAAAATATGACGCTTGAATTTGATTTTAGTTGTGGACTTAACTTAGTGGACGTTTAAGTAATGGACTTAACAATAGTGTGGGCTTTAGAACTGTGGACGTAAAAATTGTGGACGAAAAGTCTGTGGACGTAAAAACAGTGGACATAAAGTCCGTGTACCCTCCGACCAAATCACAACTAATCGCGATTACTGATACATATGCGGGACTGCGTTTTGCTGCAGAACCACCTTAAAGCGCTCGCTCAATATAGTTGACTGACCCTTTAAAACTACACGTGCGAGAGACACAAGGAAGCAGACTAACTGCTGCTTGCTTAGGTGGTCTTTTTTCGTCTTGCTCACGGGTTCAAGCTCAAGCTCAAGGGCGAGTGAGGTTAATGTGCGAGTGGGAAAGAAGAGTTCAGCGCAGGCCACTACTGCCGTGCTAAGGAAGAACGCCGTATGAACATTCGAGAGTTGCCAAATTTCCCTCGATTAATTGTGGATTTTTAACGCAATTTAAGCGTAGTTTTCCTCGAAATTTTCGGATATCTTAGATTAAATTGCGCACAAAATTGTCTGAAAATTTCGAGGAAAAATATTGATGATTTTTCCAGTAAATTCGGTTTTTATCAAAGGAAATTTGGCAACGCCTGAAGGTTCATACGGCGTTTTTCCTTAGCATGGCAGACTACATCTGCCCAAATAAATTACGAATACGTTCTTTTTTTTACCATTACTAAATCCGTCCCGCGCAGGGTCAATCCAAAGCGACGCACGTTGGATCGAGTCAATGGGAGAGGTCGGACGAAATTTGGAAACTTTAAAAGCTTATAACTCTGTTTATACAAAATATTGAGGTTTTAACAATGATTCCACGGGTTTCCTTGTGAAATTTTCTTCTCAAAACACCCCTTATACTTTAAAATGTGACGAATTAAACATCAAAATTTGCAGTTTTAGTTAAAAATGTCATGTCCGATCTCTCTAATTGACTCGATCCACTGTAAGACGGTCACTGAAAAAAAGTATGGTAACATCTACTATAAGTTTACTTGATGAATACACAGTGATACTATTTTGTAGAAATAACTAGAATCGTGGCAGTATTTTCCGGAGCTCTAGTCATGCTTACCAGTTACCATATAGTATGGTAAATGTTACCATGGAGTCTTGTGTTTATTACCATATATTTGTATCACCGTGTCAGAGTGTGGTAGAATCTACCATATTTTTTTTCAGTGATGAAACTGTAAAAATGCGTATCTCGATTGCGGTGTTTGAGAATCTCCACTCCCATTTTATTTTTTAAAAGGGAACCAAATCTACATTATGGCTTGATTTTTTACAGAATAATTTTCACGCAAAGAAGAAAAATCACCAAAATTTTCAGGGCATAGCGATTGATAGTTTTTCATGCAGAAAATAAAGTAGGTATACGACATAAATTTTGCACCGAGGTACGCATTTCTGCACCATCGAAAGGCGAATTTCGCTTTGTTTGGCAATGAGAATCATTTGAATGATATGAAGGAGGCTGAGAATGGGAGGGCCAACTCTGTAAAAAAAAATTGTCTTATGACTATCTTAGAATAGCTCCATAACGAGAATATGGGCACCGTTTTCTATTATTTCTTAGGATTAAAAAAAAAATTGGTAGTGCGGCTATGGGTGGGAAGGGATTGTCACCAGCCTTTAACAATTAATGCTTCCTACACTTGTTACCACCTTATTATCATATTTCCCAAGTTGCGCAGTGCAACGAAAATATTGAAATAAAATTATGCGATTTATGGGAAAATTTATCTCAGGAAAGATTTTAAAAGGTTCTGGGGAAAAGTTATGGTGACATTAGTTTTTGCCCTATCAATACTTACATTTTAGAGTCATTTTTCAATAATTCTAAAAATGTGTATGAAATTGAATAAAACTACTTTTGATGTATTCGTAAAGAATACAAACTCTTTGTTTCTATAATTGGTTAGAATGTGTCTAACAAAAAAACGTTTTAAAAACGTTAAGAACCTGTTTTTTACATTAAGATTAAGTTCGACAGAACTATGAATGCTCTTTGTTTTTAAAATTGTCAAAAAACGATTTTCATTTATTTCCAAAAGATTGTTTTAAAGATTCAAATGAAAGATCTTTGAGGCGAACTTATTTTACGGTGCCCAAGTTATCGATATGATGGATGTAACCAGTCGTTGGCCCTAGTAATAAAAGCGCAGAGTCTAATTCTTGACTTCGGTGGCGCGTGTTTATTCTTTGTCATTTGGTAGTCCCATCAAACAGAGCCTAAAAATGAACAAAATCCACTCGCCAAAATCCACCGAAGCGAACACAACACACATCTAATTATTTTCTTGGTTTGTTCATCGGTATGCAAACTCCAAGTGCAGGAACTCAACCGTGTTGCAAAGTCTATCGATTCCCGAAATAAATAATCATTCATCTGTGTCATCTTCATCCCGATCAAGCGGTATCGTAGATTTCGGGGGTTTTAAAAAAGGTCATATTTGTAATACGATAGTAAAAAATAAAATTCCTAGGCATTTCAAGTAAGAATCAGAGCAAAAATATCATGCAGTCATGCAGTGCCTTTTACCTCCAGACAGCCAAGTGCAGATGTAATCTAGAATCGAGGTCAGAGACTCGCACGAAGTTGCAGCGCGGACGCACCCAGCTTATTTTAAAATCACTGTAACGGCGGATACGCTCACTCGCAATGGTTTAAATAATTAAAGACGGAACTACCGTGAACGGATTTAAATCAGTACGAAAATTGAGTGACAATTATCGAAGAAAGTAAACAATATAGTTTGCGTTCGGGGCATGTGATTAAATGACTGAAGTTCTATGCCAAGTTGTGCCCTTCAGCCGACGCAATGTGCAACGCGGCGGCGAGGCCAGACTAGTAGGTGGGTCTCACATGGATCCCCCCCTCCACTCAGATCGGTCGTTGTTCAGCCTCATCACTGTCTGGTCCAGCGAAGCTGCCTCTTAAATGTAGCAACCTTAATTTAGAGAGGTTGATGGCTGAAAAAAATGCAAAATAATGTGATCCAATGTGAACTCTTTTCCAGTGGCGTGGCGTGCTTTATGGGATATATCGATTGATCGGCCATTTAAACCCATGAAAAAGGATCGATAAATAGGGTGTTCGCAGCGAACACCTTAATAATCGATTCTTTACCATGGATGGGTTTAAATGGCATAACAATCGATACATCGAAATTGGACTGCATTTTGCAATTTGGACCTATAAATTCCGGCCTGGTTTAAAAACAACGTACGTACCATTAGTTTCCCCATGCACATAAAAGTTTTTTCAGATGAGCCAGAATTTATAGGTCCAAATTGCAAAATGCAGTCCAATTCACGCTATGCCACTGCTCTGTTCGACAACACGGAGAGAAAGGAATCGTCATTCTTACGATGCTTGAAGTGGACTCGAGAGTCTACCAACTTTTATAGTTGTGGTAACAATGGCGTTGACGTTGTAAAAAAATAGGTGTTAATTTTTTTTTTTTTTTTTTGTCATTTTGTTCGAATTTTGAGATTGCTCTCCTGTTGTCATGAGAGTGAGGAATTCATGTACCAAATTAGACAAAGAAATTCAACGTAAAGGCGTTGTTTGTTTTAGAGGAAAAATATCGCATTTGATACTGCTATGAAAACTGCACTCGAATGCTATGTTTTTCCTCTGAAAATACCACGCCTTTCTTACGATGAATTTCTTTGTCAAATTTGGTACATGAATTCTACAGTCTTATGACAACAGAGGTGCGACCTCAAAATTCGAAAAAAAATGGCAAGTAGCTGAAATCATGGAACGAATCGATGCGATACATCGCACGTCGCTCTAACACAAAAAATTGTGTCCGTCGAATCACCTTAAGAGGCTCTTCTGAGCTTAGGATTCATTAAAGAGAAAATTAGTGGCACCATCGTTATTCGCGAAATTTTACGTAAGAAAAAGTACAAAAATCGCAAATCCCTGAGGTATGCAAGAGCTCTATTATTTTTTTCTCTCTCTATTTCCCTTTTCAATGTCCACCCACTGTAAACTGTAAATAGAATACCATGATCTGGTAACTGTTTATAATATCCAGATTGGAATTCAGCAGTTCTACTTGCATCTCTCCTCATTCTATCCAGGAGGTATATCTATGATGAAAAAATCTTAGGCTTATTTTTATTTCATTCAGGAATTAGACACGTAGTAACAGACCTATAAAAAGGCGAAATGGAAAAGTAAGAAAACGTGCGGTCTACGAGTGAAATTACGTAAATCTACCAGCGACCGCACTGTGTTTGGCGCAATGCGTGAGGTATTCCTACCGTCTTGTAGGCGCGAATATGTTTTTCGCGCCAACCAGCGACCGCGCTGTGTTAGGCGCAATGCGTAAAGTATTCCTGCACTCTTGTAGGCGCTAATATGCTTTTTGGGCCAACCAGCGACCAGCAATGAAGAATTAGAAATGGTTTTAACGTACTGACAAACGAAAATTATCAATTTTCATTGGAAGAAATGCCGACTGAAGGCCAGCATGAATATTTCAGAGCAGATACGATCATTGACAGGTCATCAAAACAATCCAAGATGCCCGAAATGCAAACACCTCCTTTTTTTCTCTATGGGGAAGGAATAGGAATTTAATGCGCCACCCCCCCCCTCCTCTCCACTCGAATTTGGCATGCGCTCGCCGCAGAAAAGCGCGTCATTTTGAATTTTGGCGCCTATGGCCTAGTTGCACAGCATGCATCAAAAGCAACGTTGCCAAAACCCCCAAAAACCATAAAGTGAGGTTAAGTTTGATAAGATTCGTAAACATTGCCCGTGTCGCTTTTACTTTTGATTGATTTCCTTGAATATTCTGTAATTATAGTTCCCTAAAAAAGGAGGATTGTAAACTCTATCTTTTCCTCATCCTTGAGACGCTTTGGTGTGCTAGTTTTCGCATTTTCAATGTCATCCAATTTGAAATTAATTCCCAGTTAGTATTCTGTGCCGATCCATCAGTAACCTACCAGTAACTTTCCCTTTTTGTTTTGAATACTTTTGAAGTACAGCAGCAGAAATGTCTGAAGAGAAGAAAATTACCTCATCGAGTGATCAAAAAGTGAACCCCATCAAAGATTTCATCAGTGGTGGAGCGGGTGGTGTTTGTGCTGTTCTGATCGGACATCCTCTTGATACCATCAAAGTGAGTATTCCTCCGTTAACACTGAAGTTACCAGTGTTTCTTCAATACCAGGTTTCAGAGTTGCAAGTAACTGGCACTTGGGTAAACTCTCTCGATTATGCCTTCCTTAACACCAGGCGTAACAAATTGCCAGAATTTTTACAGGATCATGGATGAGCGACTAGGTGAAACTGCGAGAACGTTAATCTTAATCATAACATTTCAAAATCTCCACTCTCATTTGATTGTATCAAATTATTGAAAACTGGCGAGTATTGTTCCATTCAGAAAGCATTACAGTAAACCTTGGATTATCCAAACTCACTTGTGAAAACATATGTTAAGAAAAGCAGCAAAAATCTAGCGGCTGGCCGCGTGCAGAAGAATTTCACGAATTATTTTAAGTTGGTAAATACCAAACAAACTTTTGTACAAGTATACTATATATTAGTAATCTAAAATTGTATACTTAAGGGTGAAATTAAAGTAGTCAGCAATAATCTCACCAACGTTATGCATTTTACGAAATGTACGTACCTAGTGACTGATTCTGGATTATCCGAACAAGCTGACTGCCGCATTAGTTCGGATAATTTGAGAATTGCTGTGTATACAGTCTCCAGGGTTGCACACCAAGATTTGCATTCATGCATTTTCTCGAAAGAGTGGGTATGATAGGAGCGTTGCCTACGAGAATGGAGGGGCCATTACTACTCTGTTTCATGACATCAAACTAGGAGAGTAGTTGCCTTGTTAACCAATCAGAGCCGCTGTTGATCGGCAGAAGTTGCATGAGCGGCACGTTTGAATCTTAGTGGGGTAATGATTTTCTTGACTCTTGGAAAAAAGTCAATGAGACATCGACCGAAAGTGTTTGAGTACTTTCTATGTATGAAGGAGTGGCCTCTTAAGTGAGGTCAATTTAATCGGCAATTAAAAATTCCCATGTCTAAACTCTTTCTAATTCATCATTCTTTTATTAAACCTTAGAGGATTTTTTTTTCTCTCAAATATATTGAAATAATGTTGCAACTCAATGTAATTAAATTGCAATCTATTTTTCATGAAATAATATCTCTGAATTATTTGGTCAGTGAACGAGTTTCCTGTAATCAATAATATAAGTTCAATGTATTTATTAGATAGGCATGCAATTTGTAGTAAAAAAAATTGTATCCCGTGTACCTATTCCAATTTTATCTAAATTTACTTGACTACCTGAAGGAGATACATTGAGAGAAAGAAGAAAAAATTTGATGTTTTTCTAATTTTAAATTGTCCTGTTTGAATTAAAGGTTCGTCTTCAAACTATGCCACAAGTAACGGCAGGGCAGGCGCCTCTTTATGCAGGAACATTAGATTGTGCAACAAAAATCATCAAAAAAGAAGGACCTTTGGGACTTTATAAAGGTAACATTCTCTTAACATCAGTTCATTCTTGTCTAACATCCAATTTATTCCATTCCTTTCCAGAGGGACAGAAGATTCCTCGAGGATTATAGGGGTGACTTACATCTGTAATCTGCCACAGAATATCTAGTCATTACTTTTAACAGGAGTGAACAGTAGTGGAACTAGGGTTCCTAATATCAACCTTGAGTCAATGATGAAATTATCAAAACGAGTATCTTGATTTGCAATGTTACAAACTTTCCTAAGTGTATTATTTTAAAGACAGGGTTGCTACAGTCGGGGAGAACTAGGAAACCGGGAAGTGTCACAGAATTTGAATAAGTCAAAGATATTGACAAAAATCTCAAGAACATTTTATTAAATCACCTTTACCTTTTGTATTTACTTTATGAAAACTGTCAAAAATCATGCCTTTTTAACAATCTTGCATACCTTCAAATATCAGGAAATTTTATGTTCCAAAATTTGTCTGGGAAATCAGAGAAATGTTTGGGAATTTCATTTTACTCAATGGACCTCTAGACTAGGCACGAATTCAAGCACTATGATCCACGGTTCCTCCAAATTTTCGTGTAGAATATAATTCACGGAAAGGCAATTTCTTCATTCCCATAATTTTGTGTTAAATCTTAATTTTGTACAGGAATGGCAGCGCCATTGACAGGAGTAGCACCAATTTTTGCCTTAAGTTTCTTTGGGTTTGGCGTTGGGAAAAAAATTCAACAAAATAACGAAAATGAACAGTTAAGTACAAGTCAACTTTTTTATGCTGGAGCTTTTGCCGGAGTTTTCACAACCGTCATCATGGCTCCTGGTGAAAGGATTAAATGCCTCTTACAGGTATGAACATATTTTTTAAATTCTTCAATGAATAATTGCCTGCAGATTTTGAAGATAGAGGCTAATATTTTCATGAAGCAAAAATTATCTCTCTTCCTTTGAATTTCATCGCAGTTATTTTGTTTTGGTGCACAAGAATTATTAGTGTTCTTAAATTAAACGTCTTACAGCATTTTGGGGCAAACGCCCGCCAAAAATAAAGAAAAGAAAAATTCATATTAAAATCACAATACTGAACACTTATTTTCGACTTTCTATTTGATGCTATTCCTTTAAAAAAACTGACAAGCACTAAGATGATGAGCATTTCATTCAATAACTTTACAAATAATGACGAAAAAATTTGTTTAATTTCACTATATGCTACCTAATTATCCTTCTATCATACTTTACAAAACTCTCAAATTAATATTTTTATATTAAAAGCAGGAACTTGCACCAATTTTTTGTGTCTGCTTTTCGGAACTGAAAGCTGCGTGCTAACCTTGATATTCAAAAATAAGACATAACCAACTCCTTAGGTGTTAGACAGTGCTTTACTCATGCAGTTCATCTTGCTCTTTTTCTATAGATCCAAGAGGGTTCAAATGCCAAATACAAAGGCCCTATTGATGTTGTAAAACATTTGTATAAAGAAGGAGGAATTAGGAGTATTTTTAAAGGCACTGCAGCGACTCTACTAAGAGGTAAGTTTTCTGTCCTTAATGTCCTCTCAAAACTGTATCTCTATCTGAACTTCTGTCCCACTCAATTCTACACTTTACAGCAGGTGTATTTTATTTTTCTTGCTGTAATACAATCCTCTGTTTTCTATTTTTCTGATTTACTCTCACCTTGAGCTCCTCTACTGGAAGTTGATTTTTTTCTTCCCATTTCATACAGCCAATCTTTTCCCTTCCGTACGTTCCTCATGACAGAATTTTTGTCTCTTAAATAAAAAAGCACCAATATCTTGAGTCCTCTTACTGAAATCAGTCTTAGAGGTTCAGAGCCCATTGCTGAGTGACAAAAATAATTTTTAAGATTTTAACGTCCTCACAAAAAAACCTTCAGCCTCAAAACGTTTTAAGTTTTCTTTCTATTACCCCTTTCACATCATTATGAATACCCGTTTTTTCGTACAAAGTATGATTCGTTTTATTTTCAGATTTTTGTAAGTACATTTCATATTTCTGTTTCTTGTACAACCTCCTCTGTTTGTCATTTAGAGAATCTATGCAAACACGTCCTTTTCGCAAAACCTTTGAAACAGTCCAGCCCTTGAATTCACTGGGCGCAGAACACCGCGGTTCCACACTACGACTATAGACATACTCAATCTCTTGATTGTCATCTGAACTGCACCTGAAACTTTTATCGGCATAATATTTACATGACCTATCCTTTTTCTGCCTCACTTGGTTTATCGGCAAAATTGCCCAAATCTTCATTTTACAAGTGCACAGCCATGGATTGTCCTGCAGGTGAATAAGTTTCGGTGACAAGCCTGAAAATAAATTTGCAGGAATATCCGTCAGTTGATTTCCGGTCAGAACTATCTCCTTCAGCAGGGTCTGTTGCTCGAACAACTTCGGAGGGAGTTTTTTCAAGTTATTGTAAGACAAGTCGATTTTTTCCAAATTGTACAAACCATAAAAAGTATCCATTGATAAAGCAAGTATCGAGCAGTTTCTCAAAATTATCTCTTTAGTCAGAAGTATTTCTCCGAAAGCGTCGTAAGCCAAGTAATCAATTCTTCCTTGAAGTTGCAAGTATTTCAAATCTGACATTCCACGAAAGAAGTCACGCTCAAGAAGATGGAGTTGAATACCAGAGATTTCGAGAGATTGTAGCATACCTAGGCCAGTGAATGCATTTGTTTGAATTTTAATGTTCTCACTTTTGCTGCCCAAGTATAAATTCTGCGTGTTATTCATCACCTCAAAAGTGTTTCCCCTCACAAATTTGAGTGGATTGTCACTCAAGTCGATGGTTTTGAGTTTAGGGAAGGGTGGGAATGACATGTCTGATAGCTCCATCAAATCATTCTTGGACAGATCTAGAGTTTCAAGGGACAATAGACCAGCGAAACTTGTGCTTATCAGACTTTGAATGTTGTTATTCGTTAAGACTAGAATTCGCAGGTTCTTGAGTGCATGGAAAGTAAAATCAGGAATGTATTCAATCTGATTGTTTGCCAGCGACAATATTTCAAGGCTCTTCAAATCGTCAAACCACTCCCAGTCAATCTCTCTTAAGTTGCTATCGGTGATTTGCAAGTATTTCAAGTTCTTAAGCCCCGAGAACACTGTATACTTCTTTTTTTCCTGCATTTTTATGTAAACTTCGTATGGAATAATTTCATTTGGGGGCTCAACAAACACTAATTTTGCTGCGGAATGTGTTGTTTGGATTGCTCGTTTGTTTCTAGGCTTCATTTCTGATTCGTCCTCAGAAGGTATGGAATTATCGTCTCTGATCCAGTGGCCACTATTTTGAGGGTCTATCCCACTTTTGAAACTCCACTTTTTTTCCAAGAGGTTTGATTCTAAAATCTCGTTTGCATCATGATCGTTTCGCGAATAAAAGTTTGCATCATCAACTTCATTGACGTTAATATGGTTGCTCAGTTCTAAATTTTCCCTCAGCCGCACATTTTCTAGATGCAAATATCGTAAGCTTGGAACCAAATCTGGGAAATCAGCTTTAAATAGTAGTTTTGTCTGATTTTCCTCCTTCAAAGGGTTTTCATCGTGGAAGCCGAAAATTTCGAAGACCTGTAAATCGTTGAACTTCGTCAGGTGCGTTGTTTCAATCGATATTGGAACCCTTTCAGGTCCCTGCAGCACATTTAGTACCTAGAAAGACAACAAGAACTAGTTGTTACTTAATTTGCTTTTTGATGTCTGAGAACTCAAATGCAAAATCATCCCAAAATCTAAAAGTCATTAATTCCATAAAATTTAGCTTTTTTCAGCAAAATATGTTGCTCATCTTAAATTCTTGTAAACCTTCAATTGAATACCTGTACAGATAGATCTCAGTCTGGATATTATATATAAATCCTGAGAAATGTTGACACAAACGTAGTGACATGTAGTGTAAATTTTTGTTTCATCATGACCGGTTCGTCATGACTGTGGTTCGGTTTGACATTGTTTGACGGAAGTTTTTGTGCTCTAAGCTTCCTTTTAATCACACTTTAATGACAAAAATTGATTCCAAGGTATAATCAGATCCTCCTAACCAGAGGTACTTAAAACACCGGGTGAAAGACATTCTGGCTGGGTAAAAGTATCAATTTTCCTAACTTCCTAAAAAAAAAAAAACTTTGTAGCAAAGTAGGTATAGATTGAAATCAATTTAGTAAGAAGTAATGAATCAACTCTTGAAATCAATGGCAGGAAATTTGGTTAATTTGTATCAATTTTTAAAAAAAATACCCTCACCTGTATTTCTAATGGCAACCCTGTAAAAAAGTCGTCTACAGTTACTCCCTCTTGTAAAACGCAGATAGCTGTATTGAAAAAAGACTGTTCTGGATGAGCAGCCTCCATGAGAATGTCTGCCTGCTTCTTATCATAGAACACCTTCAATAAAAGAGAAAAAAAGTATCCGTATGATTTTGAATTATAAACATGTCTTGTTTGAAATTACTAACAATGTCAAAGAAATGAATAAGAGAAAACTTGTCGGAGAAGTTCAATTGAAGTGGAATAAAAAAATTGATAAAGTTTTATATGTAGCACTTTAAGGAGGAGAAAGTTACACCATTTTGTTTTTACGTTTTAAAGGATACGAACCCACTTCACGAAAGCGATACGAGAAGAAGAGAGGGATGAAAAAGTTCAAAATTTAATGATATATATTTTACAAACAATCCTTTTGTTATGTGGTTTATTAAATGTTCTCTACCTTGGGTGTAGTAAAAATTACTCATTCATTACTTAAGTATAAGTTACTAAGTCAGCCATAATAACTTCTCACCCAATTCATGTTGTAAATTTTTCTCACGTGGTCCTGAAGTAAATAGTGTGATTTTAAGGTACTTACACTATTTTTCTGAATGGTAGCTTCATTGTTGTCTACGGTGTTGGAGGAATCCCTCTGAAATTTCCTTTCAATCTCATTCAGACTTTTGCTTATCGACAAATCGTCAAAGTGACTGACTTGACAGTTGCATGTTTTTGGACAGTCTTTGATCCAGTTCAAATCCATTCCGTTTGCCTATTTATATGAAATATACAATTTTAATGAAATATGCATTATAAGTGTCTGTGGGAAAGGGACTTTGGTTTACAGGGGCAAAATTTTCCAGATAGATTCTTTCCAAAATGAGTCAAAGAAAGTGATTTTGGAAATGTGACAGGAAACCCTCTTTATCATTTTAAAGTACTAGTTTTGAATGTAATTCATTTTTTTGCTAAAAAACAAAAGGCGTAAATTTGCAGTATAATCCGATAATTTTGAGCCATGAACTTAGCAGATTCAAATTTTAAACAGCTTTTTTCTTGACACTACGTTTGTTGAACTGCAAATATCAAATTATCAAACTCTAGTTTAATTTAATACTTTTTGACCACTAATGTCTCAAGATTCTTGTAGAACACTCCACTTAATTTTGAGTTTAAAGAAAGTAAGATGTTTCTCTAAGTTCCCTCTAAAATTCTCGCAGTTGGTTTTTTCCTCAGTTCAGTTCAGTTCAGTGGTTCAATCCTGTAAATAAAGTAAGGTGATTCAATGGACGCTTATATTTTGTGTCAGAACAACACGTGATATATCGCATTGATCAGTTCCATTTTTTAAGCTACACGTCATTTTTCTCCAATTTTGTGATCGCAGTTCTGTTGTCAGGAGACTAAAGAATTCCTTTACCAATTTTGACAAACAAATTCAACGTAATGAAGGCGTGGATTTTTTAGAAGAAAAATGTCGCGTTCAAGTGCAATTTCGATATCAGGATCGAATCCGATATTTTTCCTCTAAAAACCACACCTTAATTACGTTGAATTTGTTTGTCCAAATTGGTAAGTGAATTCTTTAGTCTCCTGACAACAGTACTGCGATCTCAAAATTCGTGAAAAATGATGAGTAGCTTTAAAAATGGAACAAATAGATGCGATATATCGCATAATGTTTTGACCCAAAATATGGCGTCCATCAAATTACCTTAATGCCAATTTTTTTCTTCTTTTTTAAAAACCGGAAATATGTATCATTTGTTATTAAAATCGTACTTGAGGGAAACCTAAATTTTAATTCTTTACAATTTGAAGAGGGCAGAGTAGTTTGAGTCCCTTGCAATGTTGCAAAGTGTTATTTAGCAATTTATTTATTTACTCATGAGCAGCTGCAAATTTTCCTCCAAAATTTTATTTTAATCGCCCTCATGATTTGCCCAAAATTTCCTGATATTTTTTGTACCAAACATGCGCAAGTTCAAAAATGAAGAACTATGTTGTCATTTGAAACTTGGTAACTTTGCATTGCCATCAAGCCTCTCTGGATTTGACTTTTTCAGCTATATTTTTACTTTATCCTTAGAGAGTCTGGATTTATATGCGCTGCAGGATTTATCTCTAAATGAGATCACACGCCATTGCTAGTCAATCAGCAAATTCTCAAAACAAATTTACATACTAATGAACTTGGTACTACTTGTCAGTACAGTAATACCTCAATTATTGGACGATTTTTGGCAAGGGCCGCTCCAGAATTCGATTGAATTGTATAATCGAAACCACCAAAAAAAGACTTTATATTTATAAATGCCATTTCAGGCTCTGTTCGAAACCAAAGAGCACAAGGTCCATCTTCTATTGTATTTGTAAGTAGTTATTTAAGAAGAATTAAACTCAAAATACCACATGATATATCCATTCAATTTTTGCCAAAGAAACTGGTCTCTGTCAAGTCAGCAAACTTGTTTCTTAGCTAAATTCCAAGTTTGACCATGTAGGAAAGTCGGGGAATTGCTGTGTCTGAAGACTTACCATGTGGCAAACTACAGCCGCAAAGTATGTCACAACACATATATACACTTTAGAAGAGGCCTTCATTTTGAGAGTCCAGCCGGAGGAAAACTGATAAAAAATGTGAACTTGTATGTGGCAGGACTGAGAGGAACTATTTATCTCTTTTTCACCAGATATTTGTAATCAGTTGAGCATCCTATTGGCAGTGATACGGGGGGGAGTAGTATTTTATCCTAATCCTTTTTGATCGGAGGATGCTCTTGTATCTTTCATTTCCTCGTTGCCTAACTTAACAAAAATGTTCCATTTTTTTGCAACTTTTAAAGAAGAGCGGCTTTATGCTTCTCAAAAAGCCTAGCAAATTAAAAATAGGAGATAAAAATTGAAAAAGACTCCCTACTCTTTTTCAATCTGAACCTATATTTTTTTTTTTTGCTGCCATGCATGGAAAAACGCCGCCCGATCATTTGTTTGTTGCCAATTTTCCTGTGATACAATATTAATTTTTGAGAAATATTACGGACATTTTTCTTTGAAATTTACAGATATTTTCCATGAAAATGTGAATAGCACTCTGTAAAAAGTTAATCGAAAAATATTCAAAAATTTTACCGAAAATTTGTATTATACGAAAAGAAATTTGGCATTTTTTGAAGGCTCCTACAACGTTCCTCCATACTATCATGCTAAGGAAAAACGCGGTATGAACCTTCAGGCGTTGCCAAATTTTCATCTATAAAACTCGAATTTCCTGGTAAACTTATGAATATTTTTCTTCCAATTTTCCAGATAATGTTGTTTGAAATTTCATCTAAAGTTCCTGAAAATTACAAGGAAAATTTTTCTTAACTTTCCTCAAAAATAAACATTTTATTGAAGGAAATTTGGCAACTCTCGAATGTCCATACGGCGTTCTACCTTAGCACGGCAGCCTAAGTCTCCTCTCCAGCTGTAACTTAAAATTATTCTTGGTGAAGTAGGCATCCATGCTCTCTGTCGCTTTATCCCTCCTTCCTCCCTGCATCTCCTCTATTTCCTTCCTTCCTTTTTCTCTTTCCCGCTAGTTTCCTCCCTCCAGTATTTTCCCTATTCTTCTATTCTTCATTTGTTTGATCAGTCTCTACTCTTTTTACTTTACAAATATGATGCCACGGTGCTCTCTGCATCAACAGATTTATTTTGAAGTGGCGAAAGTGATTTAACTCAGCACCAAGTTTTCATGTCGAGTAATGGACTCAGGCAGTATTCTTGCACAGTAAGACATATTCATTTTCAAAATTTCATGCGGAACACAATGGACTCATTAGACATTTTCAAAACTCTTTCATGTACCTCTACCGTGATAGCGAAGAGAGCAGTAAGTGCATCCTGGGATGAACCCCGAGACGCATAAAAGCATGTGCTAACAATGGCTCAAATAGAGCTGTACTTACTGCTCTCTTCGCTATCACGGCAGACCTATTGCTGAAACGGCTCATTTTATAGAATCTACAGTCCAATATATTAAACATCACCAAACGTCGTCCCGAAATACAAAGTAATTAATTACTATAATGATGGACTTAGGAAATTTAAAAAAAGTTTGTGACACAACTGTGGATTTTAGCCATATTCATTCATCAGACTTAATTTCCATACAGTTTTCTGTAAATAACATTCACAAGTTAAGACGGAAAATCTGTGTGTAAGAGTGTATATAACGTAACAACCATCTAACTTACTTAATTTTCGTAATTTGCTTTCAGATATTCCTGCCAGTGGAATGTACTTCATGACATACGAATCAATAAAGAAATATTTAACACCTGCCGATAGCCCGAACTCGGATCCAGGAATTTTCACAACTATATTTGCTGGCGGTATGGCCGGTGTATCCAACTGGCTGGTCGGAATGCCCCCAGACACATTGAAAAGTAGACTTCAAACTGGTAAGTTTCAGCTAAAGTGAAGCATTAAAAAGGAATCAATTTCTTCTTTTTTTTCTCCTCTCTTTTTTCCTGATGTATGGACTAAAAATGTATATCTATCTGCTTTATCTTTCATAAAAAGGACATGTGATGGAAATATGTGTATTGAATATTATTTATACCAATCGATATTCAATGTATTTACAAATTTTTGTAGATCCAAGACTCAGAAATTTTTAGTCTTTATTTCATATTGTATATTGAGATTCGGACTCATAAATTGTTCGTCTTTTGACAAATATTTTGGACATAGGATACCATCCAGAATGGTCCCAACTGCAATATTTTCTTCTGAAACCTCTAAAGTTTTATGCTCTCCGTGACGTGATATGATTCACCGTCTGTTTCTATTTAAAGGTATGTGAGAGATTTGGTGTTTTGTTAAAATGATGTAAGCGACCTTTTATTTCAAGGGACCCTAGAGAGTTCAGAGGACCTTTTATTTCATTATTCTGTAAAATGAAAGTAAGTGCCACTTTCATTGCACAATGAAAGATCTTAGATCTTTTTAATCTAACTTTAATTTGACAAATTAATATTATTTTAACTAAACCTTTAAATTATCAACTTAATAAAATTAATTAATTTATTTAACTTCAAAAGTTATTGTTTAAAACTTAAGTTAACAATTTATATCTAATATCATTTTCCAGTGTATATTTGAAGGCATTGTCAAGTTGGGCACAGGTAACATATCCATTCCCAAAACTTTGATTTTTCCTATTTTCTTCTTGAAAAAATGGTTCTCAGTTTTTTTCCTTCTTAAATTTATTTGTTTTTCTTGTACTTTTTCACTTTTTTTTAATTCACCTTGGACCTGCAATTGAAAATTGAGACTCAGTGAATAATTAGTGATTTATGGTGACTCATTGTGATAACATTAAAAATATTGCTTTTCCATCTGGAAAGAAAAATAATATTTCAGTTAGGCGCCACAAGTACCCTAAGAAACACCAAAATAAACGTGAAAAAATTCCAAATAATAATTATTGAGTAACTATATGGATTTAACTATATGGATTTAAGGTTATTTTTTCAAATTTAAATTTAATTTTCTGTTTTCTTTTCATCGCAGACTCTAAAAAAACAACAAAGAAGTCGTGTTCTGTTCGAAACAACAAATTGTTACTCTTTTTTTCTTGTTTCTTTTATGTGATTCTGAACAACCAATGAGAGACCAAAGCCGAATTATAGGTTACATAACAGCATTGTCTCGGGCAACAACATAAAAACGACTTGCTCTGTTACAGTTGTTGTAAAACAATGTTGCTTCAATGGGTCCCAAGTTTTGTGTGCAAAAATAAGCCCCGCCCCCACAACGCAAAACAACTTAGAACAAAATTCGATTGTTGCTTGTTTTCACAACATGTTGCGAGTGTTGCCTCCGCACAAAATACAACTACAATACAAGCAGCATTGCTTTCAAATTGATTCTATCGTAATTCAGCGTTGAGCAGGCACTGAGTATGCTAATGTCATTTTTTTTTTAATTTTAGCCCCGGAAGGAACGTATCCTAATGGCATCAGGGATGTCTTCAAAAAGCTAAGGAAAGAAGAGGGACTGAAAGCTCTGTACCGAGGGTGTGCACCCGTCATGATTCGAGCTTTCCCTGCCAATGGAGCTTGTTTCGTTGGTTACGAATTCGCACAATCAGCTCTTGCATGGGCATTCCCAAACTGGTAGTATTCAATAAGTATCTCATAGAATGTTTCCATCTTCAGGCCAGTAAATTCATAACTCTAATGCAAAAAGCAGAAAAAAAACTATCCAGAGCCAATAAAGAAAGCTGCTTCAAATTTTTGCAATAATCAAGGTAATGGAGAATTTGCATGCAAATTTTTTATTGCTTCAGCTAAAAGTGCTTAAAGAGCTTCACAGTATTTTTTAAAAAAAAATTCTGAAATGGGATATAGTATAAAAATAGATTTAAAGGTGAGAAAATGCACCGCCTAGTTGCGTCTTTTGGCGGCATTTCCCATTTAAACACCGGTATTTTGTAGATTAGATCATTTTGTCGTATCTTCTTCAATAATTGTTCGATTCATGAACCAAGGGTAACCTCGTGTTCAGTTCACTCAGTAGTTTTCACAGAAACAAGAAGTTCATCAAATTTTAGACACCTGCAAATTCTCTATTGATTAGATACCTCCACCGCAATTTTATTCTCTATTTTATTCTCGCTGTTTGTGTGTTACAATAAGATGTAAAATTTTGACGATGCATCTGCTAATCCAATCTTTGTTTTCCGTTTACTTAATTTTTTTATCAGAAGAATCTAAAAAAGCTTAGGCTCTATCATGATATCAAACTAAATACTTGAATATATTTTGAAATAATGTGTGAATTTTTTCTTCCTCAAGAGTGGCAAGAGATTTAATTTTTCAGCCTTAATCAAGTTTGTACTGAAGATGCCATTTTGTCCAGTTAAATTTTTGCATGATCGTTTTCTCTAGGGACTCAGTGAAAAGTGACGCACTCTCTTGAATGTAAACTTCTGGTTTTCAAGAGGATTCAGAGAGAAAAGCTCTTAGTATCTCATCCTATCAAAGTGATTCCCATTTGCCAAAGCTGCAACGTTTGTTGTGGAATATTTTTGGCACTCTGCACATAATTCTTCGCTCTTCAGTTTTTGTAACACTTAAAAAATCTTATCCCTGTAGTAGCAGGCCAAATATTCGAAATAGGCCCAAAGGAGGGGTTATGATAAGGGCCGTTTTTGGACCCACCCTGAATTTCCTCTTCTGTCCGACTTTTTGCGCGTTAAGGGTCTATTTTCTACAGAATGCATAATGATCTGGTCATTTTTTGGTCTCTTTTCAGGTCTTATACTGGCCTGTACTTTTGTCTGAAAGTCGATTTTGGGGGAATTGTGGGTTGGCTGTCGAATGCCAAAAATGCGCAAAGTCAGTATTAGACCTGATAAAAGATCAGAAATGACGAAATTATTATGCATTCCGTAAAAAATAGATGCTCGAAGAGCAAACTATCGTAGGGTTAAGGAAATTCTGCCAGGGAGAGCCCAACAACTGCCCATATCAATACCCCTCCTTTCAATTAATTACCACTCAAAGCATTTGAAAGTCTCCCACCGAATCAAATATGCTTGGGGAATTTTCCGCCCACAAATCCATCTGTAATTCGTTTCATAAAGTAAATATTCCTAGTTTAGAGTATTATTTTGTATGCTTATCTTCATACAGGAAGTTATGAATTTATTGACCATAAAATCCAGGCCTTAAATCAGTGTCAGCTCCATGAATAGCCGACTCGCCGGTCCAGTCATCACCGATGTTGGCAGCCTTAGTGTGATAGTCTTAGGAGGGGTAGATGTCTTTGGAATTGGTGTCTGTTATCATTGTTAGTTATCTTGGTATCCGTATGGTTTTTAGTGTCCCTTCATTAAGCAAGGTAGTATTCTCTCGGTTATTTTGACTTTGTGGTGGAACAGGAACATTGTGATTATCCTCTGTCAGAGCGAAGACTTGATACGTACAGTAATTAAGCTACACCTGATTCTACTTGAAATTGATTGAAAATTCCAATTTCAAAAAAATAAATTACCAAGTCTCTTGTTTAGAAAAAAAAGAAACATTCCTTCAATGAAAGACCACTACCACAGTGAGATAGAAGTTTTACCAAATCGAAACAGCTGAAATGCAAGTTACCTCCTCTCTTTTCACCTCTTTCGCTCCGCAAATTATGAAAAGCCTTGTTATGAACTTTAGTAATCAATCATTTTTAGCCTTTTCCATGCCTGCAGAATAAAATGTGGAAGAACCATGTCATCGTATGAAAAAAAATAGGACAATTAAATAAGGGACAGAATTGTGGATGTGACGTTCCGTATTGCAGGAGGTATACCTATCTTTCTTTGAGAGACAGGTTTTATCCTCAGACTGGATTAAACATTTTCTGAACAAGCTCATGAAGTTAGTACCCCACCTCCATTAAAAGCTAGTATTTTTATATGAATTTTCCACATGAGTTTCCTATTTTAGCAATCACTCCAGATTCAAGTCCAACAATCATTAGTTTTACAGCATGAGTCAATTCTTTCCTTCGATGCACAAGAGGCTTTAACGATGGCCTAAAATCCAACATGGTTCAAATTTTTGCATCAGGGCAGTTTTGTCCCTTAAAAAACTGACTTTAAAAAAACCTCTTTTTTGAGTTTCTCGTGAGAGTGAATTCTAAAATGTCTACCTAGTTTTTAAGACTGAAAACGAGTTAGTCGTTGAAAACTGTCTTTGTTTGTACTTTTTAGGTTTTGTTTTTTACTTTTTACATTGTGTTGTTGACAGACTTTTATCATGTATTAGTTAAGTAATTCGTGTCAAGCTTCTTACGGCTGTGGACAATTGTTTATTTTTTTAAATCTATCATTGTATGAACAATGAATTCAACTGTGTCATTGCTATTAAATATGTTTATTTTAATTAATTTTTTTCTTTTTCCTCAATAGTTACCACGTAGATGATCAAAGATTGATATGAACAGTATTTTAAGGTATTTCTGATAGATAGAGAAAGTAAGAACGGATCTTTAATCTCGGAAAACCATCTGACCTTCACGGATGTCTTCACAAATAAAGTAAGGCAATGTCACTACATTACCAATTTAATCATATCGTTTTAAAGTTTTCAAGAACTTTAATGAAGAGTATTCTTTGGGCGCATGAGGAAGATTCCCTGAAATCTCTCGAAGCGTCACATAATGCGCTGCCTAAAAATATCTCAACTGAATTTGATCTTCAAGACGGTCCTTCTCACTTACGCTAAAACAGTTGAGAGGTAAAAAGAATTCGATGACTGCACGCCAAAATCGAGCACCTCAATTGTAACATTTTGTAATTTCCGAGCATACATTATTCTCTAGAGAGAAAACAAAAGAACATAATCACTCTCAGTTTTTTAAGATAACTGTGGGCTGGTCAGAAAAAATTCCATGCTACAATGTTGATGGGTTTTCAGTCTTGAACATAGAATTTGAGTGGAAATTTGGAAACGAGGCAATGGAGGGACATTATTTTTCACATCAGCTATTGAATTTTGCTATTTTCTAAGAAAGCTTTTGCTTTTTCAGTTAGTGTTTAAATGAAACTTATTTTTTCTGAGCAACATTATAAAATGATAGGATGAAATAAATGAAGATATCTTTTAAGAAAAATCTGAAACATTTTATTTTGAAATAAAATGAGAGATAAAATGAAAAATAAGAGAGAAACAAAGAAAAGTGATAAAAGAAATGCAAAAGCAATGAAAGAACAAATTTCAAAGGTACTCAAAAATACATTTTCTCTTACTTACTTTTATAAATTTTCAAAGAATAATTTTTAATGACAAAATGTTGGTGAACTAGAGACAGATGTTTAATTACTTTCTCCTGGGATTTTTTGCTGGACCTGGAGTTAAATTCTCAAAAACTAAGTTCCATTGCTCTGAACAGAAAAGGCAGAGTGGAATGAGCAAACAAATTGTACTTGTATTGTAAAAGAATGGGAGAGACAGGTTTAAAATATAAGGATAGTAAAAATAAGAGAAGAAATGAATTGATGATGCAACTGAAAACATGTACCTAAGTTTGCAGTTTTCAAACTATCCATCGCACCAAGAAAATTTATTGATGTACATATGTGATTCCCCAAATGTTAATGGTTTTCTTTTAGAGATTGATAACATTTTAAAAACATTTCAAGCACAATAGTTGAATCATTTTCATTTAAATAAACGAAACAAAAATGGGAATTTCAGATGAACAATATTTGAGGTACATGTTTTCCCAGCTAAGCCATCAAAAGAGATGTTAGATACCAGATATTTTTGAGATATAGATTAACGCTCTTACAAGCAAACTGGAATGTTTGATTCAAAAGAGAAATGACCAAGAAGTGAACATCGAACATGGAGAATATCAAGTTTACACGCAATTGCACATACAATAATTAACACCACAATGGTCTATGAAGGTGATTCTCAGTTGAAATGAAATCAGTAAAATATCTGACACAAATAAATAAATAAATAAATAAATAATAGACGCAGATAACTTTCAGCTCTTATGATTCGATTAAACATTAGAGCCAGAAAAAACACAAATCTTACGTTAGGATCGCGCAACACTCTTTTTAAATTTAATTCCTCCAAAAAAAAAATTCAGTCACTTCTGTTGCAAGATTTAATGGTATTTTTGCCTGTCATTCCAAAAATGAGAATGAAAAAAGAGAATGATGCTCCCAAAATAATTGTTTGTTTGCTTTTGCAAAAAAAGAGTTTTTTTTTGAAACATTGAAATGTGATTAAATATTTTTACAGTAATAACTTGCAGTATGTGATCATTTGTCTATTTCTAGCGAAGTTATAAGCGTTAATGTTACGCAACAATGAAGTTAGTTTAATTCTCTCTCCCTTATCCGAAGAGAGAGGAAAAAGAGAAGATTCTACTTAAGTATGAAAAGGGGTAGCTTTTGTAAAGATTTCAACGACGACAGCTATGAATTGCACCAATTGCAAGAAAACTCCTCTATGGTCATATTGTTCAAGTATTATAATTACAATAGATAAATGTGAATGAAACATCAGGTATAAAATATATAGATCATTCAATCCTAGGTATATTGCAGATTTAAATACCTATACACCTTTTATTCAATTTCATCCTGCATTTCATCCTGCATTCTTCTATTTCAGACACAAATAGATTAGAACTTTTTGAAAAATACATGCATAGATTGAATTTCTGGTTGCTGAGCAAAATTGAACATTTTGATAACACCATCTTCATTATAAAGAAGGCAAATTTTGAAGGGGAAATAAGAATAATAAAGAAAACAAAAATTGAAAAACAAAGAGAAAGTGACTGAAAAAGCAGAGTAAGTAAACTAAAAAAGCAGAAGAAATGAAACAAACGCT